AAAATTCTTTCGCTGTAAAGTTTTGTTCGCCAAATGAGAAAACGCTCTCTTCGTTAGCAGTCATTCTTGTGTGGAAGGCGAACACAGTTTCGGGAATATCCTCGAATTTCATTGAGTCACTCTCAAGGTCATCGCTGGAAGAAGCCTCTAGACGTGAGAGATAATCAGCAGTACACATTATCGGACTTGTGCCGGGTTCGTGGAGGATCGTAAAATTGAATTTGAGCAAATAATTGTGGATGTTTGTGAGTTTGATATCGTTGTTTTTGTAGTCTCGTTGCTCTTTGAACAAATAACATAGTGACTTGTGATCAACCACGCATGTAAAGTGTGTATTGAGAAGGAAATACTCGAAATGGGAAATGCTGAATGCCAGTGCAAACAGCTCTTTGATCCTCATTGATCGTTTTAAGTCAGGTCCTTTCAGGGCTTTGGAGAAGTAGCCAAGAATGTTTAGATTTTCTCCGATTCTTTGATAGAGGATTCCGCCAACTTTCTTTCCACTACTGTCGGTGACCAAAATCAAGGGTTTTCGAAGTTGAAAGTGTGACAGTGATGGCTTTTTCAACAATTCATTCTTAATTGTTTGGAAGGCACGCTCATGTTTGTCAGCCCATAAAAATTCGGTATTCTTTGATGTGAGGTCGTAAAGGGGTTGCAGAATGGCACTTCCGTCTCGAATGAACTTGATGTTATAGTTGAAAACTCCTAAAAGGCGTTTTACTTCGCTCTTTGACTGTGGAGCCTTCAAGTTTTTGACAGTTTCGAGGTGTTTTTCTGTTGGTCGAACTCCATCTTTGCTAATAGAGTAGCCAAGGAAGTCGGCCTCAGTTCGACACAGGTAACACTTTTTCGGTGAAAGAAGTAGGCCATTATCAACGCATGTTTTGAAAATAAACTCCAGGGTCTCAAGATGTTTTTCGAAGGAGTTATCAATGCAGATTATATCGTCCAAGTACAGGAGGATACTCGGATGGTTGAGTAGTTTCTGCATGATTCGTGAGAATGCACTCGGGGCTGTTGACACACCATAGAGCATACGTTGGGCGGCGTAGTGTTTGTTGTTGAAAGAGAAAGCAAGCTTGTGGGAATCATCAGCGGCAGTTTGTATTTGCCAATACCCTCGGTGGCAATCAATTTGACTGATGAAGCATGAGTTCCCATTTGAAAGACGAGTTCCGATATCTGTCAATACCACAGACAAGTGAGGCAGCGGGAACCGATCTTGTTGAATGAGTTTGTTTAAGGATCTTGCATCAAGAGAAATCCTTATAGAGCCATCGTGTTTCTTTAGAATAATCAGCGGTATATTGAAACCAGACGATGTCTCTCTGATGATGTCCAGACTTTTCCATCGCTCAATCTCTTTGCGAACCTGATCTCTCATGTGAATCGGTATTGGGCGAGGAGGTTGGTGTGTTGTCTGAGATTCATCAAGCATAGGTAGGGTGAACCGGAAATTATGAAGTTTTCCAAGGTCATCTTCACCCATTGAGAAGGCAAGTTTATATTTGCCAACGAGATCAATCAGTTTTCCTTCTTGCTCCGAAGTCGTGTCGCCGAATGAGCCAATTTCCGGTTTGAAATTCATTATTTCGGCCTTTTGACTTCGTAATCTTTGGAATGATTCTAGGGATTCCCTTTCAGTTTTAGAATCTTTGATCTCGACAATTGCATTGACATTGCAATATTTGGAGTTTTGATCGGGTCTTATTGTTCGGACTTGTTTGTTTTTCCAAACAATTAATTTTTTATCAGGGAAAGCAACATCTTTGAGGAGGTCGCAGCCAATAAGGACAGGAACACAAAGTGAGTCGACAACAAGTGGATTTGTGATCAGAGAGAATGTTCCGTCGCCGATTGTTTGGACTGTCATTTTGATTGGTTCGGCGAGTGTTGATGGTCGGATAAATTGGTTGTTTGCACAAATTATTTCCACTTTCGATGGTTTGGTGTTGTTGACAAAAGGAAGACTTGAATTGACACAGGTCTTTAAAGCACCGGTGTCGAGGAGCGCGACGTAGTTGTAGCCATTGATATTGACGTTGATAAATTTCAGGTTTGAGGGAGCGTAGAACATATTCGGAATGGCAAGAACAGTTTCAGAATAACTTAGTCATAAGAGTGACCTTGCGTATTCTTTGACCTGTGCAGGGATTTCTTGCTGCTGAGCATGTTGGTACTTGCAGGAACTTCCATACTTGCATTGACCAGTGTTCGTGTACTTCAAGCAGTATCCTTGGGCTTTGTCAAGATCAATCTTTGATTTTTTCTTTACACTTTGCTTTTTCCGGTGAGTCTCATGGTCCGCTTTGAACTTTTTGAACTCTTCCATGAGTTGCTGGATTTGTTTGTTGATCGGGTCATTTTCAGGTTTCGTGACAGCGGCGAAATTGATCTCGCGTTTCGGAATGGATCTTTCAAGCTCGTTTGCTCGTTTAACAATCGAGCTAACATCAAGGCTAGCTTTGTCTCGCAATAGAAGTTCTCGAAGTCGATCGTCTTGGGCAGAGCAAAATTTCTCGATTAAGAGTTCTTCGTCGTGTTTTCGGAGATCTTTGATGTTATACCCTTGCCTGTAATAGCTCGTTAACTTGGCCATGGCGACACCAAAAGAGTCAGATCCACGTTGGTAGTTCTCATAAAGGTGTTTCCAGTGATCTCGGGAGAAGCCAAGCACGTCTTCAAGTTTTGCTTTGAATGCATCCCATTCCTGAAGTTCAGTGTCTGTGAGAGAGGCGATGATGTGGCTTCCTTGCTCTTCGGCTAGCAGAGCACTGAGGGCGCATGTGATGAGCTCTTCATCATTAAGCGAGGTGACCCGGCCATAAATCTCCATGTTTCGAATCCAGGCACTTATCGGAAGGCATGTATCATATTTCGGCGTTTTTATTCGTGCTTTGCCGGACTCAAACTTCCGTTTTGGCTGATATTCGGGTTCGCGTTCCTCCCTTCTATTTCGAGTGGGTTGTTTGTCTCGGTTCTTAGATGGCTTCTTTTCAGGTTTTTCTTTCTTGATCTCGGGCTTTGGTGGCGTAGATCGCTTTGGTCGAGAATTTCTCGGTCTCATGGTAGCGTTTGCTGACATATCAGAGTCGGAAGATGAGTTTTCATCGGTTACGTCAAGCTCTGGTAGACCCTCAGTATCACTCTCGACATCCAAAGAGGCCATTAACTTGCTCAAGGAATCAGCTTCTTGAGTTGCGACAATTTGCTCGAGGTTCATTTTATGCCGTGGGTGAGCAAATTTCTGCTCGACTTCCCCAGTGAAGTCGGGCAAAAATTCGACAAATTTACCGTCATTTGTCGGTTTAAAATGAAACTTTCGGTCTCTTTCGAGAAAACCCGGATCAACGAGTAAGATATTGCAAACAATGGATCGTTTGTCCGTGATTGGGATTTTTGTTGGGTAACACTTTCCCGGACAAGAGTCATAGATTTGCAATAGCTCATATCGAGTAAGATCAGAAGCGTTTTTGAAATATTCCCCTTCCATTAATATTTTGGTACTTACAATAGGTGTTTTCTTACGGCAGCTCTCTTCGATCGTTAAGCACTTTTCACTGCAGCTCTCTTCGATCGTTAGCTCTCTTATTCTTTGGGCGTTCCGTTTGATTCAGTCACCAATTTGTATAGGTTAGACTATTCTGCAAAGAAATAACACAACGCAACTTCAGGCAACTCTAGAGTTGAATGAAGGTTAAAAAAGGTTAAAAGTTAGTTTTGGTTTATTGTCCACAAAAGTATCTCTGAGTGGTTGAGAATGAGAGTGTAAGAGGGTTTATATAGGCTTTACTTTTGCTTCGTATACAGCTGGAACAGGTGATGGTCAGTAAGAACAGCTCGGATCGAAAAGAAGAGGTTCACAACGAGTTGTAGCAGTTCACAACGAGTTGTAGTGATTGAAGTTCAGAAGGCGTAGTTCAGATTCAGGAAAGACAGTTGAAAATGAACTAGCTCATCTCGCGGCGCCGAAGGCCATTTCAAAAAATGTAGGCGGCGCCCAAGAGCAGTGGTAAGGCGGGCGGGCGTCAGACGCGCAATTGCCTTTGGCGGAATTATGTGTTCTTTTTATGAAACGAGCAGAATAGTTAGACCTATAATAAAAGGTCGAAAAATCCTCAAAACTTTATTCTGTTTTTTTTCAATTTATTTCTAATTCTGATAAATAAAATAAAAGAATGTTCAGTCATCCGTCGATCCGCAATTAAGCTTTCCATCATGAATACATGATAGAAGTGTTCCTCGAAGCTGCATTGTTTTTTCTTTGAGTTTCTTGCTGTAGTCTGAACAGCCAATAATCAAATGAAATAATCCAAAACAGCAATGAAGGGCACAATCATTTGTGAGTTGAGCAGGTGTTTTAGCATGACTTATCGACCATTCTTCTTCAAAGGATCCTCCTCTCAGCAACACATATTTGAGAATGACTTTTAAAGGATACAATACATAATTAGGGGTGTCCTTACATGGTACAGATCCTTACATGGTACATTTCCTTACATGGTACAAAATCCTTACATGGTACAAAAATCAATTTGTACCATGTAAGGAAATGTACCATGTAAGGATTTTTGTACCATGTAAGGAATTTGAGATGAGAATATTTTCAAAAACAAAAATCGACTTGATTACCCGAAATATAATTCTGCTTGACCCCCCCTCGAGCACATTTTTTTGATTTCGAAAATATTTTTTAATTTCAAAATTTTTAACAGAAGTTTTACCTGCCAAAATTTAAACTTCGCGCGCTTTTTGAGAATAATCGTGACTCAATGAAGCGATGATTCAGCGCACACAAATTTGTTTTTTTCGTTTTTTTTCGTCGTAAACTTGGATTCATGTGAGAAAAAAGAAGAAAGAAGATTAAATTTATTTTATTGGAGGAATTTTCCTGTTTTTACTTATCTGAAATTAACTTTATTATTCTTTTTATCATTTTTTCCTAAAAATCGATGATGGGACCGTTTTTCGGTCACCATTTTTATTTTTCAAGATAAATGAATCGTTTAAAAGACCAAGAAGGCTTTTTGTTTATCGAAGAAGAAGCGATTGTAGTGAAGAAAGTCGAATTGGCTGTTTCCGACTCATTCGATGAGCAAATTCATGTCCTCTCGGATCCGTCATGCAATTCGAGACACTTTAATCAAACGTATGAGCTGATAGAGTTTTTCTGACTGTATTTAACGGTGATTGTAGCGGCTTGAACTGTATCTCGCTCAATTGGGTGGATGAAATGCGCGAAAGCGGGCGCATTCCGGATTCTTGTCCTTCCACGATTGAAGTTCTCGTCACAACTGCGAACGAAAGAGGAGCCAGGATCATTGGGTCCGCTCTCTGTCTCGACAGAGCTCCCAATTCAGTAAGCTTCGACGGACCAATCTGCTGTTCATCAATGTCCAATGGATCTGCCTTTTTCATACCCGTGAGTTGTCAAAATTGATCTTCTCTCGATTCACTCAATTCTAGCTACTCTCACTGCAAAGCGCACTATGCGTTGCCAAATCTGACCCATCGAGAAAACCGCCAAAAATACCAGAGAGCATAATCGACAAACTGAAACTCGTCCTTTCAAAGCCTCCAACTTATTTATTACCAGCGAATGAAGCTTCTCTCTCTCTACACAGGTAAAAATGACCACAGAAGCACCCATTTCTGACCATTAAAGTCAAGGGACAAATCAAAATCGTTGCAAAAGTGATCGCAGAAATGAAGGCAGAACATTTGGCTCGTAGAAAGGCTGCGAGAGAAGCGATTAATCAACATGTAGCTGTGCTGAAATTTTCAACTAACAGGTACTTCTTTCTTGTTGAATGTATATTTATTTGTTATCAAAAATGTCAGAATAATAGTTTTAAAAATCTATTTTTTCTTCAAGTATGCATTGGGCGAACTTGAGCCGGATATTTTTTGAAGGTGAGAAATGATTTGAAGTAAGATTTTGTTCTGGATATCTCAGTTTATAAGCCATAGCGATAGAATTGTAAATCGAACAATCGGAAGCTTTTGAGCCCGCTGGAATGGCCATTATCTCCAAAGAAAATCTTTCGCCCAAGAATTCTTGAACAAGTCTATCATTGATTATTTCGGAAATATTTCTTAAATGTCCATAAAAATTTTGTTGAGCTTATTTATAATTATCGAAAATAATTTATCGGACGTTTCCTGTAATCTTCTGATCTATCCAACTCGTTTTTGTCAAAGTCGTAAATAGTTATAACTCTAGCCGAGATCGAGATATGCGCGAATGTGTCGTTCAATATGTGATGAGAACATGGCAGATAAATTGCGATGTCAAGATAGTTCTTTGCATTGAAATTGTTAATGCCATCTCTTGCCATCATCTCAGGAATATGATTAGGTTTCATCTCCAACATATTGAAGAGCCAATGAGGAAGTACAATAGCCATTTTATGCTCGTCAACTAGTGTTTTGTTGAGAATATAAATGAAAGATTCGACCAAAATTGTCGGTACATTCTCATCGTTAGTACCAAGTGTCATGAATTCGCCGTTTTTTAAAGTCTTTTTTCCAATTTTCTTCCAGTTTCTTGTCTTCATTTTCATTGAAAATCTTTTTTCTAGGAGCTGCTTTGCCTTCTGCGGAACTGACAACGGCTTTGGAGCATTTGGCGCTCGTAGAGCAAAAGAAGTGCTTTTGGATTCGGTCGAGGATGAGGTCGATGATTTCTTTACCGATGGTGCATTCGCCGCTGATAGACCAGCAGAAGAGCTTTCGGATTCGGTCGAGGACGAGGTCGATGATTTCTTTACCGATGGTGCATTCGCCGCTGATAGAGCAGCAGAAGAGCTTTCGGATTCGGTCGAGGACGCGGTCGTTGTTGGAACAGGCACCAGATCAACAAGTTCTTCATTCATCAAAAACGAAGGTAAGTCTTCAGTCCTTTGAATTTTATTAGGTGGCGGTGCAATTATACTCGGCTCGGCCATAAGTTCCAAATTTTCCAAATTTGTATTTAACATGAGCGTTGTTGGCCTCCTTATCTCATTCACAAGAGTTTCTTTAAACCTGTCTTCTGGGATTTCGCGCATAAAAATATTGAAGGAAAGCTGATCTTTGAGCACCTCGCTAGCTTTCTCCTTAGAGTAACGAATGTCAATGGCGCTCTCAATGATTTGTCGCTTGAGTTTTTGCAGTTCGCCCTCTGTTTCCTCTTGAAAGTATCCAGAGCTTCGTTTTTTCACCATTTTGAGTACTTTTCGGACCGCATGCGACCGAATAAAAATTTTCATTGACTCTTTAGTATCTTCTTCGGGACAGGGAACAACACCTTCTGCAATAGCGAGTTCGTTTAGGTAGTTTTTATGCTTCGTATTAGCAATAATAGTCATCATCTCGCGCATGTTTGGCGCTCTTGCTAGCCCGTTTTTGCTAAGTTCCCCATTTATACACTCAACGGCATTGTTTGTAAGCGAGGATTCTCCAAGGGAGGCCCGTCTTGAGTTTTCGGAGTGAACTTTTTTGGATTGAAATAATATTTCAGGCACTGTACGACCTATAGAAGACGAAGAGCCAGCGAAGTACTCGCAAAAGACCTGCAAATCTACTAAAGAATGGAACTTCTGCCAAAAGAATAACGCGCCAAATGTAGATCTTCAAAGGTAAAGCGGAAAGACCCTGAAAGTGATGACTAACCGCTTTTGTTTTTAGTCTGTCTGAAAGTATGTCCGAATCGCAGTTTCGCCGGCTCCCTCCGCTCGAGTCCCCAGGTAACTGAAAACTCGATTGGCCAAGGAGAAACCGCCGCGGGCGAACTCTGACTGTCTGGGCACAGTGCCAGCCTCTGCGTGTTTCAAATTCATACCCTTATTTCGTTTTCAGCAAGTGGCAGAAAGTATCAACCAGACACGACCATTCGTCTAACCATAAGCAACGTAAGGCTCTTTACGCCAAGAAATACATTTTTCGAACACAAATTGACTAGTGACCCTCATGACTGTTTTAGGTGGCGACCATGTGCGAAACGCTCCTGCGCCAGCGAGAAGACCAGATCAGAGAAGAATACGACAAAATTCTAGCGGAGAAACTCAAGATCAGCCCGACCCTCAAAAAGCCCAACCCGAATGTAAGTTTGCCTCTGGGTGCGCGTTTTTTCTGGAATTTTAGAGAAATGCGTGTTTTTTGGTATCGCTTTCTTTTTTCTTTCTTTTTGACACGTTGAGGATTATTAATCACAGTTGTCTATTTGCTCCTAACACTGATAACTCTTCAGGTATCGTTATGGCGGACGAAGACAAACTTGCTAGCTTGTGGAAGTCTTTCCGAATGCTCAAGCGAAACTACAACGAGATGAGGAATGAAACCGACAAGGATCTTTCGACTTTACGAGATGACATCACGCGCTCAAAGCGTCAAATGCACGCTGCTTGCTTGAATCTCAACGCAAAGTTGCGCACTGCAGAGCCACGACAATCACTCGATCGAATGTCCGACGAGAAGAGTCAGGTGGAACAGCAACTTCGCGAAAAGGTTTCCGAACTGATCGAACTCCAGGACGATTTTGAGAAGGAACGCGCCGCATTGAAGAGTACAATCGCTACGATGCAGGGAGAGCTTGAATCTACTCGAGATTCTCTCCGATCAGAGCGAGAAAACTCTACTGCCAAGGCTGATCTCTCCGCGCTCAACATGTCTGAAATCAACCCTGCTGGCTTCGAAGATCTCCAAGAGCAAAAAGCCCAGCTTGAACAAGCACTTCGAGACATTGCTAACTGCGTTATTGCTGACACTGAGTTGTCGGTTGCCATTCCCGAAGCGGAATCACTCCGAGGAGATGGCGCACGATCGCCAACCAGATCCACGTCGCCTAGCCGACGATCTCGCCGACTCAGATCACCAGGAAGAGCCGTCAGCCCTACCTTCGCGATGACAACTTACGACGCTGTTGCTGGAAGTCTGCAAAAACTTGGAGCGTGAAATTGCCAAGACAAAGAGCAAACTCGACGAGACTATCACTGAAAACAACGATGCCAAGCGCGAGATCACCAGAAAGCTTGCCTCTGCTGAAACCGCCCAGGCTGAGAAAGACGGACTCAACCGAACGCGCAACAATCTCCAAGCTCAACTCGAGGGTGCCCAAGTCGACATTGAAAAACTCCGAAGCAAGATCGCTGAGCTTTCTTCACAGAAAGAATCGGCCGAGGAGGATCGAGAAGAACTGCAGGCGCTGCTGAAACGAAGGGATGAGGATGACAAGCGCTCTCAGCGAAATATAGAGCTTCTGGAACAACGAGGCTCGTCTCTAAAAGAAGAGCTCATTGCCATCCGAGAGCAACTCAAGAAATCAGAGCTCGAACGGGACGTTGCTGACCAGGAGCGACATGAAACAAGCGAAGCTCTTCAACGAGCCGAATGTGCTCTTAACGAGACCGAGCTCAAACTCAACCATCTCAGAACGGAAGAAGCAGGCTCTCGCGAACAACTCGCTAAGTTTGCCGCGCTTAATGAAGGACTCGCTGCTGACAAGGTTGAATTGAGCCGAACTATCGCTCATTTGGAGGAAAAACTCCAGCACTTGGACAATGATGGAAACAGATCATCCGCCACGAGTTGATTAAGATGGAGCAAGCCGCTGCTGATTTCAAGGCGCAGAAGTCGACCCTTGACACGAGCTTAATTGAAGGCGAGAATGTGCGAAACCGTTGTTTTTCTTGATTGAAAACAACAATGACTAACTGAAATTTAGCTTTCATATTTGACGACTGTCGAACAAGACGGAGGAACAGTCCGAGCTCGGTCTCCACATTCGATCGATCAAGGGCTCGGCAGTTTTCTGGTACAATTTATTGCCAAATGGCTCTGGCGATGAAAGAACCCGGCACGCCGCCTGTCCCGTTCTAAGGTACACTAAGGGTTTTACGAGCAGATTAAACAATGATGTATCAGGGGCCTCTTAAACGATCCCCTGATCGACAAAGAAGATCTCGAAGTGACTCCCGAGGATCTAACCGCGGATCTCGACGAAGCCGATCTGCTTCTCCATCCAAGTGCCGAAAGCAGCGACACTTTGGCGATCGAAACAATCCCAACAAATCTCAATGCTTAGGTAAACTCCCACTCCCATATCCATCCCATTCCCGAGGTAATTTCAATCCATTCCTAAAGGGGAGAAAGTCGAACTGTGTAGAACGTATGTGCCCAAAATGTAATTGAATAGATCGCGCCATTTTGGATCATCTCTTTCGAGCACGATAACTTCCTCCTCCATTGCAGCAACAAACATTTTGTTGACAACTTCTAAATACAAAGGGATGTACGGGATAGATGCACAAAGTGCGCGAAATGTTTTCGCCTTTGGCTTATCCCAAACGTCACCAAGTTTGTACTCTTTTGAGCAAGCGTTTCTTTGGATCGCTTTCAAGTTTTAATAATTAATTTCAAGGATTCGAGTCGTTTATGCTTAACGATGGAGAGAAGAAGTGGAAAGTCAATGTTCCTGGTTATCGATCAAAGGTAATAATATTTAAAACTTTCCTTGAGCTTGATGAAAGCTGCAATAAAGATGCTTTACAGCTTCCCCAAAGCACTTTGCAAGAGCACAGCGTATTCCAGTCTCGTAGTCTAATGATATCGCTCGCAAATTTTTCAGGCCTTTAGTTTTCCATAGAATCCCAGATAACAAGAGCTCGTAGTCCTCCGATTTTTTCGATGGTAGCAGACAAACAATTCGAATGCTCGCAAAATTCTTCGTTTGGGATAAAAAAAATCGTCCAGCTTGGCAGATGATAATGACTTGCCACGATTTTCCGCCATTAACTTCTTTTTTCGCCTCTTTACCGATTTTATAGTTTCCATCAAAACCCAACTTTGGCGCAATTTCGACATTTGCCCAATCATTTGTTGTTGCGTAGACTCTAAATTTTGAGAAGCACTCATGCTCGTATCCTTGCCCAGTACAATAGTATTTTTCGCCGCCAATAAAGTCGGCAACAATAAATGGGTCGGCGTCTTCCTGGTCCATGCCTTTACGATATTTCTTTTTTTGAATGATTATAAACTACATTTAGGAAAACGAATCCACATGTGCGCTATAAGAAGAATCACTGAAATCAAAGAAGACTACGCGCTAGATGATAGAGCTGTTTTACTTGGAATAACCTTCAGCTGTACGAAGATTAGTGGTTGATGAATCAAGGTGAGTATTTAATCATCCTTTCCGACAGTTTATTCGCAAGTAATTTTTGCGATTTCGAATTTGAAAGCTTAACATCATCAGGTCCAATTACAATGCATCCGTTCGCTTTTTGCAGCTCTGCACGTAGTTGTTTAAAATGTGGCCTTATTGCGTCGTGTTGCTTGGTCAAAGATATCCATAGATCGTAACTTTCTTTCATTCTCGTAAATTCTTGTACACATCCATCTATTTCCTTCGCCATTTCCATCAATTTTTTTCGCCAAAAGCTTCTGTTCTTTAGACATGTTGCGAAAGTTCCAAGGGACTCTTTTTCTCGACCCATGAGTGCCTTTTTATGTTCAATAGAGTTCAAATTATTGGTTTGTAGCTTATCTTTGATCATTATTTCTTTAAACAGTTCCTTTAACTTCCTCAATAGTAAAATTTTTTGCATGCCAAAATGCATCTTGCGTCGGATCATGACAGGATAAAAAAATGACCAATCTTTTGCAACAGCCTCGATTTTTAGCCGAACACGTAGCCCGAATATAGGCCCTGCCTTTTCATGCGCTTTAAATAAAAAAACAACTGCTAAATTAATATTCAGTGAATGATGGTTACGACAAGATCGACCCGGACAGTACCAATGAAAATGCTTGTTAGAAGAAAACGACATTAAACTGATGGTTTTTAACATCGCTCAAGCTGAAAATTCAGACAAGTCTAGGAATCGAACCTAGGTTGCCCACGTCCGGACGGGGAGTGCTACCACTGCACCAACTCGCCGAGGTCTATATCGGTATTTTGGAATGATACTCTAATCGAGATGGCCTGAGCGCTGCTAAGAGCCATCAAAACTTATCAAAAGGTATGTTTTATGAGATTCAAAGCGTTCCTTTTTTGTCGAATTGAATCGATTTTGAGATGTCCCTTGTTGAAATATGGAACAAAAACAGGGAAAGTGCTTCCTTCACATAAATACGGAGCGAACCGTAGTCCATTTGGATCGTTATTACTTGAGGATTAGACTCTGATCCATTTAAAACATCGTCGTATTCTAATCTTGTCGGCGGTGGCAAAACTTTCATCTTGAGGTGATTGGCGGCCATGACAAATTTTTTGGAAGCTTTCTCAGCTTCCTCAGCCTTTTTTTTATCGTTCTCCTGATTAGTTGCATTTTTTTCTTGTTGAATCGGCTTGTTAGTCGCTTCCATCACGCAACTGATAAATTTGACGATCTACACCCAAAATAATAAGCTTATTCTAGAGCCGAGCTAGAACCAAAACCGGATGATCCAAATCAGAAACATGAGTGAACCACTGAGAAAAAGCCACAGAAGAGAATCAAAAACAAGAAAAGAGTCGTCAAGGATAAACCACAAAATGTTCCACAACATGTCACCAGACATCATTTCTTTACGATTTTCCTGGATATGCCCAAGGTAAAATATCAACTCGGAGCGTTGGTGCGTGACGCATAGGAGAAGCTAATCTCTCCATTAGATGATTTTCGCCCTAATATCATGTTCAGAAAACGGAAGGCGTAACTGAGTGCCGCGACATCCGAGAAGCTTTCGTTCCCCTAACTAAGCTCTACTTCGACGGTATCGATATGGATATCCTCTTCGCGCAGCTTGCCAACAACAACAAAGTGCAAGAAGACCAGGATCTGCGGTTGCCGCGTTACTGATGAAATTTTACACCTCGGTAAGATTCACTCTTTCTGACCAGATCTTGATTTGACTCAGTGCCTAACATTGAAACATTCCGCCTGACGCTCAGAGCTGTCAAACTGTGGGCTAGAAGAAAAGGAATTTACAAAAACGCCCTCGGACTTATCGGTGGTGTCTGATGGAAAGAATTAGGACCTCGGTAAGAAAAAAAAACTCAATTCTTTCGAAATAGTTTCCTAATTTATCTCCCTAGAATATCCGATAGAGCAAAACACGCCTTGTTCATGGCTTCACCAGATCCAAAAGCAGCCAAGAGAGTTCAAAATTCAACATATTCATCAAGAGTTCAAAGTCAACCATAGCCATTATCGTCATCGTCGAATGTTCACCGCACGCCCGGAAAAAGCTTACCAAAGCCGAAAAACCTCCACACTAGCGCAAAAGACACTCCTCTCAAAGCTCAAGAAATTGCAATGCGTTATTTTACTGTTATTTTGTTATTTTTCAATAAGCGATAATAGCATTCATAAAAAATGTCTTAAAAAATCGGTGTTATCCAGTTTCAAGACATTTTTGCGGCTTTTCTTTTGAAATTTACTTTATTTATTACTCACAGTGCACAGAAGCAGTAATTTGATTTTTGAAAATGAAAAAAATTTGCTCGAGGGGGGGGTCTAGCAGAATTATATTTCAGGTTAACTAGTCGATTTTTGTTTTTGAAAAGATTCTATTCTGAAATTCCTTACATGGTACAAAAATCCTTACATGGTACAAAATCCTTACATGGTACAATTTGATTTTTGTACCATGTAAGGAAATGTACCATGTAAGGATCTATACCATGTAAGGATCTGTACCATGTAAGGAAACCCCACATAATTATCTATAAACAAAATCATTTGAGATATCAGGAGGCAGACCCATCATTTAACTCGTCTTGATGAGCTCAAGAAAACTGCAATTACAGAAAACGATTTTCGAAAAAGTTTTTTGAAATTATCACTGGTAAATGAAAACCTGGTAACCCACTGTGTAATAAATATGCTACAGTAACCAATTAGAAATAAGAATTCCTTCCATCCGCTCCTAGGCCGATTCCATCATAATTGCCATTCATCGAGCAGAAAAACTCGATACTTTTCCTTTTCACATCAACCTTGCAAAAGAACCAATGGGAACGTCGAAGAATCGGAAAGAGCAATACTGTCTTGATGTTACTCGGGTGAATCAAGTGTTCGTCAGATTCGAGTTGTCTCCAAAATAGCGATGATTGAAGCATGATTTTTTCTGGATTATGTTGGAGCAAATATTCTTGCAATAGAAATATGTATGAGTCCACCAACAAATCGGAAATCATTCTTTTTGATTCCAGCAATTCATGAACATGGTGAACTCTTATCTCCTCTTTTATGAAAATAATCAATTGATGATCATCCAATTTCTTCAGAGTATTTATCAATGCGTAATTTTTCTTGTCAGGAATACATTTAAAGCTTTTAAATGTCGGATAAACATTCTCAGACAAAGTCGATCTTGGAATTTGGAGTAAAGCCCATCGTGCTCTTTCATCATCAGATACGTCTGGAATTTCTTGAATATCAGATATTTCCGAACCTGCATCAGAATCTTCTTCGAGTTTTTCCAAGTGTTCCAAAACGGTAAGTTTTCTTTTATTAACGCGCACCATTTTGTGGGCCTTTTTCGATCTTGGTGCATCATTCATGTCAGCGTCTTTTTTTTTCTTTTTACAGAAGAATCTTGAACGTGTCGGTATTCGTATTTTCCATCATCGGATTTTTCTTCCTTGATTTCAGGTTTTTTCTGATTTTTTTCATGAGCACTTTTGTCAACTTCCTTTAGACGTAGATTTTGTATCGCATGTGTTTCATCTATTGCCATTTGAAATTCAACAGCAATAGGATCATTCCAGTCAATTGAGCCATAGAAAATATCAGCGACGTCCTTTTTCGCGGCAATTTCTTCTGCTCGATCCCGAGCATTCCAAAAAGCTAGGCTAGTTTCAATAATTGATTTTTGAAGTTCGGCTAAGTCAATCGAAATTGAACTTGTGATGCTTCTTCTTCTCAATTTTTTCGCGAAATCTTTCGCTTCAAGATATTTTATCATCCAACACAAGCTTGTTATTCTAGTTGTTGCAGTAGGAAATCGTTGCTGCTCAATATAATATTGTTCGTCATCATAGGCAAGTTTTTTGTGGCTGTAAATCGCAGAAAAAATAGCACGAAGAGTGTTTTTTTTCTCCAGCAAGCACGTGAGCCTCGCATTCTGACTTTCAGCCTGATTGTTAGTTGAATCAACTTTAATCAAGCTATTTTTTAATCAATTTATTCAGACCAAAATCATTTATGGCCCAGATTTTCCGGACCAAGTATCTTATGGCCCAGAAATTTCCGGACAAAGGTCGATTTTGATCAAGAATAATATGTACTTGTATTGGTATGGTTTCAAAAGAGATTTGATCCTCAAAGGATTTTCAGACCGAGATCATTTATGGCCCAGAATTTCCGGACCAAGTATCTTATGGCCTAGAAATGTCCGGACAAAGGTCGATCACGACTGTCAAAATAGCTGACATTCCTGTGCTAGATAAAAGTCTAGCATTCACAGTGTCAGCCCAATCCGCAGGATCAAATCGATGGTCGATTCCAATATACGTGTCAAGAAGATACTGAGAGAATTTTTCCCAATTTTCCTCAAGTTGTTTATCCTCCTTTTTCTTCTTTTCGATTTCAGCTGCAATTATATTCAAAACAGCTTTTCGAATATCCTTATTAGAAAGCTGATAATATGGCAGACTGTATAAAACTGCTCGTAATTCTTTCGAAGTTTTTTTATTCCATGATCGAAGCAATCCAAGTTTAGCAATTTTGCGACGGATGCTCTATTAATGATTTTAAAGAGAAAATTGACTCTGGAAGTGCGACGGATAAAAAGATGAAGATTGAAAGGTCGAATAGTAAAAGTTGGAATCAACGATAATCAAGCACTGGAAACTTCGCTTGCGAAAAATTTGAGCAAAACATTTGAAGAAACTTTTGAAAACGTCGAAGTTGTGAATCCGGAGGCGCTCGAAGAGATTCAAAAGAGAGTGGAAGAGCTGAAAGAATGGAAATGGATCTTTGGCCAAACACCTAAATTTACGCTGGAAACGGAAGATTCGATCATTACTTAATTCAAATTTTCTAATTCGCCAAAATAAGAAATCTTAAAAAAACAATGAGCTGTTATAAGTTCACGAAAAAAAAAAAATTCAGCTTTGAAGTACTTTCTCGGTGGTCTTGAGCGGCAGAATTATCCAAAGAGTAGGATTCGCCTCTGGTTTGTCACCGACAACAACGCGGATAATTTCTTGGAAGTGATCAAAGCCTGGAAAGAAGCCTTGGAGGTTTTTTTGATAATATTTTTCTTCTTTAGCTAATTCAAGAAAAGTTCTCTTTTTATCATAAAACGACCATTTCTTGTAAATTTCGTTTCTTATGGAAATATTTAAATTTACAAGAAATGGTCGATTTATTAAGAAAAAAGAACTTTTCTTGTAAATGATAATTGCTTTATTTCCCCCTTCAAAGCAGAAGAAAAGAAATCGTAAACAACGAAAAAGTCAACTAAGAAGGAAAAAGACACGAAATTCTAAGAGACCAAAGTAATAAATTACTGCAGTTATTGAAGCTTTTTGAATTTTTTTTCTTTGTAAATCGCGAAAATTCAAAATACAATACAAAGCTCCTTCTGAAAATGCTTGTAAAATGAACTATCAACTCAGCATAGATCATGGGGGCTCTTTCGAAAAGTAAAAATTATTCAAACTGCCAAGGATAAATGAAAAAATAGAAACATGAAACTGTTTTGACTGTTGAAATGAAAGGAAATGAGCATGTCTTTTTAGAAATCGGTACTGATAATCGAAGATGGAAGAAGAGAGATTCGATTGAGTTTATTATGGAAGAGGCTTTGAAGTCACTACTGCACCGGTCCAGAAACGAGCTGGCCAAGGCCGATAAAAACCTAAAGATCGAAAATGCTAAACTGCCGAAAAGCCTCGAATTGAAAAAAGGTTCATAAACAAGAATCTTTTCATTATTTCATCGTTTCTTGGCCTCCAACGAGTGGAATTCAATTGCATTTGTTCCAGAATGGCTATCAGCTGGTGCGTGGAGACTCAAAACAATCATCATCCCTCATTCCTAACTCCAATAAAGACATATTAGGTCCGTTGACAGTAACTTTTATTTTTCATTATCAATTTTTAGACGAGGTCAGCGCGGGTCGAATTCCGCTGAGCATCACTAGTTGGTTAGAATCCGATATGCTGCTAATGAAAAACGGGGAGCTTGAACTCACTTTCGTCGAAAGAGGCTCCTCCGGAAACGTCCTTTCAACCGAAACCTTGACGCTTTACCATTGTAACACTGCGCTAGAATCGCAACAGATCCTCAACGAAACCCGTCAGATCTATCGCTGGTCTGACAAGGACCGTCTTATTTTAGGTAAATTTGGATCAACAATTCACAACAAATATATAATTCTGAACCAGCACCTGTTGAAAGGAAAATCGATACAAATATTTTTTAAGATTCGTGCCTATCGCTAGCAACAAGCGATCCGCTATGCTTAGAGCCAGATCCAAATCAGACACGATTTCAACACGCTAGCAAGTGAAATGATGAGAAGTGTTTACAAAAACTACCCGAAAATAGCGAGAACGCTGATAATCTTCTGTATAATAAATGAGCTCTGCTAACTGTCTCTTAGAGCTACAGCGCAATTGTCAAAACTATGAAAGATCATATGATGGATATTTCCGACCTCAAAAATGCAAAAACGGAGGATAAAGACGCTCCTCATCACGTTTTTGTCATTCTAGATAAAATAACTAGAAAAGTTCACTTTTTAAAAAAAAAACAGCCATTTCTTGTTAATCTTGTTTTCTATGGTAATGTTTCAATTTACAACAAATGGTCGATTTATTAAGAAAATAGAACTTTTCTTGAAAATT